TGACACACTCTAACAGGGTCACACTTGCTAATAGTGCACCCCTATACCCTCTGGGGGTCATTTTTATCCAAATCATCACAGACTGCCACACTAATTGCTTGTGCACCCTGTTTTGGATGACTTTCTGTTCAAATATGTCTAATTCTATTTCCTAGTTGAAAGACATTCATTAATCAGCTGTAGCTTTCAAGCTAAGTTGTATTTCCAATTTTATCGAAGCATGTTGTGCCATGTAATTAGTTTATTCTTGCTCTTGAACAACTACATTATCATCATTGGATTTCTTAGCCTAGACATAGATTTTCCTGACATGACCTCCCCATCCTCAGACTGATACCCTCACCCCTGTACTGGATGTGGCTCTTGGGAACTGTCACTGACTTTCCCACCTCTTATTAATATGGCACAGTGTTGGCTGTTTCCTATCATAACTCATAACTTACCATGCCTGACATGGTATTAGTTATTGTTTCACAGGTCTTGTCATCGAAGCCATCTTTATAGATCTGTGAATAGTTTCTAATTTCAGTTCTCTGCTGTCTTCAGCAATAACTACAGCACTAATCTCAAATTCGTTTTTCAGTAATTACCTCATGGCTGATTGCAGAGCGATTTCTGGGTGGGCTTTTTTTTGTGGGTGAAGATTTATATCTACCATGCATTATTATGTTGGATTTCTCACACTCCTGCTAGGGTGTTATGCTTACATTTGCTCCACATTCAATAAAGCATGAATCTAACAATTTTTAGCAACTATAATCATTAGTAGTCATGGGTAACCTTAAAAGATACATTATGGCATTAGCATAAAGTAAAAGTGTCTAATAAACCTACAGCATAATGAGCCATTGAATTCAATAAATTCTACCAACAGCCAGTGAGTGTATTCTGTGCTGGGCACAGGGGTGCAATGATAGATAAATGAAGCTTTAACTCTCCTTTTTTAGAGCTTCATCCCAACGAGAAGGATGATTTACAACAAAGTTTTAATTATTATGGTAGGAAACAAAAGGGAGAGGACTTTTTCATGAACATGTGTTAACTACTGGGCCTTCGCCAAGTTTGAAAAATCTGAAAATTTGACAAGAGAATTGTGTGGCCAAGTTAGTTTCCAGAGCTTCGCTGTCCTAGGGGTGCCGCATCCACGACTGACTTGGAAATTGAGTCTTTGCCTTTGCTCACATCATGTCCTGAAAGAGGCGGGAAACCATAGTTCAGTTTTCACAAATAGAAGAAGATTGGGGACAGGAAGAAGCTCTTTATGAGTCTATAGTGAGACTTAAGTTGGCCATGAGCAAATGAAGGTTTATTTTTAGATTTTCATAGAAGATTTTCATTGTAAGCTAGTTAATGCTTACAATCTCAGCAGTGGAGAGACCAAGGCAGGAGGATTTAGAATTCTAGAGTTCCAGAACAACCTGGCCACACATTGAGATCCTGTTTTTAAAAAAATAATAAAAATGGTTTATAGAAAGCAAGAGAACTGTTATGTGTCCATGTTAAACTAATTCCTGCCTTTATAAATATATGATAGGATAACTTTTGATATCTGAAGAAAATTTGGAGAAACTTATGGAAAAGGAATGACTTGGGCATTCTATATCTACTAAATTCAGGGAAACAGGGCCCTGTTGTCTGGCTTCAGGACTTGTCAGTCCCTGTCATTGGCATAAGCAGTGTGTACTCAGTTGTCTTTTGAATACTTTTATTTTACTTTTCTACTTTTCATTCCTTGCTTCTACCCAATAATGTGCATACTCATATCATTCTTTTTTTATTTACTTTTTATTAAATATTTTATTTACATTTCAGATGTTATCTCCTTTCCTCATTTCTCCCCCACCCAGAAGCAAACTATCCCATCCCCCCTCTCCTGCTTCTATGAGGATGTGCCCTACCCACTCCCAACTCCCCACCCTCGAATTCCCCCACACTAGGGCATCCAGCCTTCACAGGACCAAGGACCTCCTCTCCCACCTATGCCTGACAATACCATCCTCCCCCACATATACACCTGGGACCATGGATCCCTCCCTATGTGCTCCCAGGCTGGTGGTTTAGACCCTGGGAGCTCTGGTTGGTTGGTATTGTTGCTCTCCCCATGGGGCTGCAAACCCTTTCAGCTCCTTCAGTCTTCTCTCTCACTCCTCCATTGGGAACCCCAAGATCAGCTCAATGGTTAGCTGTGAGCATCTGCCTCTGAATATGTCAGACTCTGGCAGGCCTCTAAGGACACAGCTATATCAGGCTCCTGTCAGCATGCACTTGCTGGCATCCATATCAGCATCTGCCTTTGGTGACTGCACATGGGATGGATACCCAGGTGGAACAGTCTCCAGATGACCCATCCCTTCAGTTTCTGTCCCACACTTTGTCTCCATATTTGCTCCCATGAGTATTTTTGTTACTCCTTCTAAGAAGGATCGAAGCACCCACACTTTGTTCTTCTTTCTTCATGAGCTTCATGTGGTCTGTGAGTTGTATCTTGGATGTTGCGAGCTTTTGGGCTAATATCCACTTATCAGTGAGTGCATACCATGTGTGTTCTTTTGTGATTGGGTTACCTCACTCAGGATGATATTTTCTAGTTCCATCCATTTGCCTAAGAATTTCATGAATTCATTGTTTTTAATAGCTGAGTAATACTCCATTGTGTAAATGTACTACATTTTCTGTATCCATTCCTCTGTTGAAGGACAACTGGGTTCTTTCCAGCTTCTGGCTATTATAAATAAGGCTGCTATGAGCATAGTGGAGCATGTGTCATTGTTATATGTTGGAGCATCTTCTGGGTGTGTGCCCAGGAGTGGTATAGCTGGGTCCTCAGGTAATGCTATGTCCAATTTTCTGAGGAACTGCCAGACTGATTTCCAGAGTGGCTGTACCAGCTTGCAATCCCACCAACAATAGAGGAGTGGTCCTCTTTCTCCACATCCTCGCCAGCATCTGCTACCACTTGAGGTTTTATCTTAGCCATTCTGACTGGTGTGAAGTGGAATCTCAGGGTTGTTTTGATTTGCATTTCCCTGATGACTAAGGATGCTGAACATTTCTTTAGGTGCTTCTCAGCCATTCAAGTTTCCTCAGCTGAGAATTTTTTGTTTAGCTCTGTACCCCATTTTTAATAGGGTTATTTGGTTGTTGGGAGTCTAATTTCTTGAGTTCTTTGTATATATTGGATATCATCCCTCTATTGGATGTAGGGTTGGTGATGATCTTTTCCCAATCTGTTGGTTGCCGTTTTGTCCTATTGACAGTGTCCTTTGCCTTACAGAAGCTTTGCAATTTTATGAAGTCCCATTTGTCAGTTTTTGATCTTAGAGAGTAAGCCATTGGTGTTCTGTTCAGGAACTTTTCCCCTGTGCCCAAGTATTCGAGGTTCTTCCCCGCCTTCTCTTCTATTAATTTAAGTGTATTGTATCATTTTCTAAAACCCTATGTTCAGCTTCTGCCCAAGTCTTCTCCTCCGGGTATTTTGCAGACTCCACCCCCACTTACCATGGTCTCTTTCCTTTCTCATCCTGTCACAGCCATTCACCTCTAATCCACAATCACATGTCAGCACTATAGGCACTGTCTCCTCCTCAGATTTTAGAAGCTTTTTAAAATGCTTAATACTTCGAACCAGTATATTTTAAATAGGAAGATAGTTACCCCATAAATATTTGAATAAATGACACTGTTGCCTTAAGTATCTGGGTAATAAACTGCAATGTGTAATTTATAGGATAAACATCAAAAATATCTTGTGCTTACACTCCAAAACATGTTATTAATAAAGATCTATATCTTCATATATAATAAACATATTTTATTCAAATTCTGATTTTCTGCTTATTTCATAAATAAATATTACAGAATTTTAACCCTCTGATTTATCCTGGCTTCATCATTCTATCTGAAAATTGCAAGATGAAAATATTGCAATTAAGAAACACAGGGCCAGCCCTAAATGCACTGTAGCCATCAAATTCAGGATTTCCCACCATGGCTGGACCCATGGCCATCTGTAAGTCCACCATGAAAACAATGACAAGACTTCCCTTAAATTTTTTCATTCCCCATGAAGTGCCAGGACCTCAAGACCCTACCAAACATGTGCTCTACAAACACCTATTTTTCCCTGTTTATTTTTCAAAGTGAAAGAATTTTCAGAGGTTGATAAGACTTAAAACTATTGGGGCACAAAGCATCACAACTGTTTTGGTTACATTTGTATCGTATGTTTATAATACTCTTGATGTAATTACTGGGGTCAGAAAGCAGAAACCGATCTCACTGAAGCAACTGAGCAGGCTGCTGTGGTGCGCATACTTGCTGCAGGCTCAATCACTCCAGACCCGAAGGAGCCTAGGAAGCTTTTCACTCCTCTGTATACGGATTAAATGGAGTCATTTCTCCATATAATTGTTAAAGTATTTTAAAGCTGTATTCTAAAATAATCGACTGCATTGTGGGTCATCTTTGCATGTAGAAAGGATTTTTCTAATGAAAGCAACTACTGTAGGATAATTTCTCGAATGAATTTTCGAGGTACAGTGACAAATTTCAGTACATTAAGAAATTTGTGGAAAAGAAAAAGACCACGGTCCTAGTTTTGGCAATTAATGAGATATGTCCACACTTTGTAAACCCTCGGGGGATGTAACTCAACATGTGCTGTTTGAGCATACACTGCCAGACATGTGTCTGCATGACAGGAGCTTACATATCAGCTACTGACAGAACTTGATGCAAAGCTTGGTGAATTCAGGTCCTTGTCATTCCAATCTCTTGTTCTGTTAGGGACAGTGACTCTGTATTGAGTGGAGCCCTCTCTGTCATTCCTTCCCTCACATGTCCTCCTCTACAACTCTAAGAAGAAAGCCAGGGTTTCTAGTGTAACTTACACCAACTGATCAACTAATGATCTTTCATGGAAGGCAGCCACCACAATAAAAACTCATTCATTTTGACGCCAGAGACATCTTATACTCTGCCCTATTTTCTCTATTTTTCAGACTGTGTTTCCTGTGAGTCCAGATGTGTGATCCAGATGTGCTGCAATGGTGACATAAACTGTTGACTGAGACTAGGAGCGTGCCTAAAACTCCATCCCTCCTCCTATTTTTTTTTTAATGGTGCTTCTATTGGAATAGTTAACGAAGTGCATCCACCATGAGTTTTATCATGAAACCTCACAGACACTTTCAAAGAACACTGATTCTGCTTGCCACATTTTGTATGGTAAGCATCATTATTTCTGCTTACTACCTGTACAGCGGCTACAAACAGGAAAGCGAAGTCTCCGGGCGGGCTTCGGAAGTGGACTGTGGTGATCTCCAGCACATACCATCCAGGCTGATGGAGGTGAGGAGGACAATGATTTCTGATGCTTCGAGGACAGACCCCACAGTCCTGGTGTTTGTGGAGAGCCAGTACTCATCCCTTGGCCAAGACATCATTATGATGCTAGAATCCATCCGGTTCCATTATCACACTGAAATCGCTCCTGGAAAAGGAGATCTCCCGGCGCTAACAGACAATGTGAAAGGCAAATATGTTCTCATTATATATGAGAATATTCTAAAGTATATAAACATGGACTCTTGGAATAGAAGCCTCTTAGATAAATACTGTATAGAGTATGGTGTGGGTATCATTGGATTCCACAAAACCAGTGAGAAAAACTTACAGAGCTTTCAGTTCAGGGGCTTCCCCTTTTCCATAAGTGGAAACCTGGCAGTAAAAGATTGCTGTATTAATCCTCACTCCCCACTCCTTCACGTGACCAAGTCCTCCAAGCTGGACAGAGGTTCTTTACCTGGAACTGACTGGACAGTTTTTCAGATTAACCACTCCACCTACCAGCCAGTAATATTTGCCAAAGTTAAGACGCCAGAGAACCTGTCTCCTCCCGTCTCTAAACAAGCATTTTATGCCACTATCATACATGACCTGGGGCTTCATGACGGGATCCAGCGAGTTCTTTTTGGCAACAACTTGAACTTTTGGCTGCACAAGCTCATCTTCATAGATGCCATCTCCTTCTTGTCGGGGAAGAGGCTGACACTGTCCTTGGACAGGTACATCCTTGTGGACATTGACGACATATTTGTGGGGAAGGAAGGCACGAGGATGAACACCAATGATGTGAAGGTAAGGCCCTGTTATCTTAGAGTTGCTCAGTTGACTGCATCCCTGAGATAAGAACATTCTTGTCTTCTGTAGGACAGAGTTCTCCCAGACATGGTACTTCTGTTTGACTGAGAGAATCTGGGAGAAACTAGGGTAACTGGTTACTCTCCTCATACATCACCTAAGTTTCTAATACACATCTATCTGAATCAGGGGAAAAATGACAATTGTACTAAAATGTCAAGTGCAGTGAGATACAGATCTATGTGTATTTATGACAGCAAAATAGAAGTCATTTGTGCTTAGTTGCTTTCTAAAAACTATTCTCTTAGACAACAAAGACCTCCATTAAAATATGAAGTCTGCGAAGTTTCAGAAATTTCAGATCACAAGGAACAAATTCAGATATTTTTGAAAGTCTAGCATGAGATTAATTTTACTAGCCATGGAAAACCATGACCTGACCACAGAGGTGGGTTTGTTCACACGGAAACATAAGGTCTTACCTTCTCTGTTGAAAATGTCTGGCACTCATGTGATGCTACCATAACATGCTAAATATAAATCGCATCCACTTCTCACTGTGTAAAACTACTTCCATTCAAAACAAGGAATATTTAGTGTTACATAGACAACTAATTATTTAACAAAAAGAAAGACAAAATTGAAATTATCTGCATTCATGTTATTTTTCCATTTAAAAACAGTACTCTATCTTTGTTACTTTGTTACTTTGTTATGTTGATTTCTCATGAAAAAGAGAGACATTGGATAAATAGTTTTTATTCTTTACAGCTTTAGCTTTCTGATAGAATATCTAGAACTAAAGCAGTTATCAGAGAATTTATTTTGGGGAGATATCTCAGTAGGCAAATGCAAATGACCTGAGTCCCATACCCTAGACCTTCCTGGTGGCAGAAAAGACCCAGGTCCTGAAAGTATACCTATGACTTCCATACAAGTGCACATTCAGACATAAGAACAATGTAATAATATATAGAATTTTGTATAAAAAGATCATCTAGACAATTGCATCACTTTTAGACCACTAAGTTTCTAACAAATAATATTTGTTACACATTTATTTATTAAATATTATGTCTTTAATATTAAATATTTATCACAACATTTAAGAAAAGTATCAATGCCAGAGGGAATGCTCAATACTATAGGAGAGTATGAAAACTGAGAAAGAAGACACTTCCATATTAATAGGTGTGGTTTGCTAATTAGTTAATTATGTTCATTAGATTGTGTTTAAATGCACATTGAAGATTTTGCAATTTACTTTTGAAAGTATAGATAAGTTAAAACCAAACTGGTTGATTAAGCATGTATCGTTACATATTTAGAGACTAAAACAGTATTTAATTCTTCATTTTCCATTTCCAACTACTGTGATAAAAATATAATTAATATACATATGATATAAAACTTTTTAAAACTTCCAAAACTACACTATTAATGCATTTTTAAAGTGTGCCAAGTAAACTTCTGTGTTCCGGTGCAACCGTCTATGCCACCTAACATCAGAACAAAGTGCTTTTTGATCTGGCATGGTGGTGTTTGCCTATGACCACAACACTACAGAAAATGGGGCAACAAGATCACAAGTCAGAGGCCAGCCTGGGCTATCCAGGCATACTGTGTCTCAAAAAAAACTAGCACCTCTTTTCTTTATAGGTTAACTTGCATTTTAGGGACACTGGATATATTAAAAAGAAATGTAGCATGTATACTTTATGGTTTCATCATAGTTACGGGGGACTACAGTTGCTAAACTCCCTAAATGTTTTGTGTGGGTTTTTTTGTTTTTGTTTTTTGGTTGTTTGGTTGGTTGGTTTGGTTTGGTTTGTTTTTTGAGGGGATTTGGTTATGGAAACAGAGTTCATCATTACTTTACTGTATACTTGCATACACATTTCACAGAACACAGTACAATTCCTTATGGCTGAAAGAAAAGAACTTTAACATACACCCTTCACAGAACACAGTACAATGTGCATGCCTGTGTGTTACTCTCTGTGCTAATAACTGGAAGACTGTTTCATTTAGTGTTCCCATGTACAGTTAGCTTTAAATATCTTAGGCAGTAAATGTGTGTTTTTAAGAAGGCAGCAAGAACAGAATGTGTTGTACAATAGAGTTTGTGTGACTACATCTTCAAACTGCATGTAGTAAGCTCTACTTTGGAATTGCTTTATTTTGGTATGTGACCTACATGATTTTAAAAACATGTTTTAGACTATTGAGTTTTCAACTGCTTCTAAACTGCATATGTTTCAAAAGGCTAACTCTTTGCAGATAGTCACACAAAGTACGTAAGTGTTCACTCATTTATTCGTATATTAGCTACTGTTCTTGTAGCTGTGGCAAAGTGTCCAACAGAAGCACTTCAAGTAAGGAAAGAAAAGATAATTTTGCCTCACAGTGTGAGAGTCAAGTTCATCACAGGATGGTGTGACATCAGGACTAAGGGAGCAGGTCACAGTCTATCCACACTCAGGAAGTGGAGAAACCTGAACGCTGGTGATCAGATAGCATGATCCTTGTTATTTCGTCTTGGATAGTTTATGGAATGGTGCGTTCACATTTAGAGTCCTCCATCTCAGTGACTCCGATCTAGAGCCTTTCTCACAGACATTCCCAGAGCTTTGTCTCATAGGTAAGTCTAGATGTTGTCAAGTTGAAAATCAGTATTAACCATGATGATAATTCTGTATGCAGATTCTTTTAGGTTTTAGACATGTACAAGGTTAGGCACTTTGGAAGAGTGTCTATCTGTACAGCACTTTGTATGTTCCTAACACTTCAAATACCAGACATACAAATACAGTGATAAAGTTGATGGAGCAGGGTTGAGGGGATAAGTAGTATCTCAGTCAGGGTTCCTATTGCTATGAGGAAACACCATTGCCAAAAGCAATTTGGGAAGAAAGGGGCTTGTTTCATCCTATAGCTTGTAGTCTTCCATCCAGACAAGTCCCAGCAGGCACCTGAAAGCAGGAACTGATGCAGAGGCCATGAAAGCATGCTGTTTACTGGCTTGTTCCTAATGGCTTGCTCAGCCTGTTTTCTTATAGAACCTAGAACCACCCTCTGCCCAGGAGTGACACTACCCCTAATAGACTGAGCCCTCCAATATCAATCACCAGCTGAGAAAATGTATTACAGATTTGCCTACAGGCCAATATTTCTCTTCCTAGATAACTCTAACTTCTGTCAAGTTGGCAATCAACTAGCCAAGACAAGCAGATAGAGTGCTTGCAATATGATAAGGGGAAGTAGTCCATATGGTCTTGTGTAAAACTTGCTGTGGAAAGCACAATGGTTAAACGCCATTCCCCAGAAACTAATAAGTGTTCAGGAAAAGCTAGAAGGCAAAGCTAGAACAATTGTCCGTGGCATTAATTCAAACAAAGATGGAAATTTCCTGAAACTAGGAGATGGGAATGAGAGCGGAGATGTGAGAGTTAATTTAAAAATTCTCCAGGAGATGCCAAACGACATAGTGATTGGTTAAATGGAGATGAAAAATTACAATCAGGAATGGCATTTGAGTTTTTATCACTGGTAAGCAGCTGTAGGAACGAGCAACAAGATGGAGTAAGAGGATGGTAGAAGGAGCCACTCCAGGTCATGATGGAGACTTCAACTCCATGGAAGTCCATCATCTATGTTGCTTCGTGAAGCTGTTAACATCCATTCTGATGGTAGGTTAAAGGCAGGTATCTGATGCTAAGTAATACTTTAAATTTGCTAAAATGTTCTTAGAACTGCATATAAGTATTTCGATGAACACACATTCTCCACTTGAGACATAACTATTAGTTCAACTTTACTATGTTGCTGCTGTTTGGTTATTTTTTTTGTTTGGTTGGTTGTTTTATGTTGCTTGTGTTGTGGGAGGTGGTATGCATTTGCATGTACCTGTGTGAGCCTCTGTGTGTGTGTGTGTGTGTGTGTGTGTGTGTGTGTGTGTGTGTGTGTGTACTGGCTTATACATGCAAATTTGGAAACCAAAATTCTATTCTAGTTGTCTTCATCTTTCCACCTTATTTTCTGAGACATGGTCTTTCATTGAACTGGAGCTGGCCATTACAGTTAGATCAGCACTTTACCCCCCGAGTGGCATCCCCAGTCCTACTTGCTGTGGATTTTAGATCTATTTTTGTGCCATTTTGATTTCTTGAGGAGAGAATGGAAAGGTTGATGTTGGCAGAGAATGTTTGTTTAACTCTCCAGCACTAAAGGGGGGATTACACGTATTTCATTGCTCTTCTTACAGCTATTACATCATGTATTTTGAAAATCAAATGCATCTCTTGTCATATCTCAAGATAGCAGTTTATCATTCTGTAACTATTGTTTTTCAGATTCTGTGATGTTATTTGCCTTGACGTTTGTTGCCTAACCATAATCACTGAGCTGACCTTCTTCTGGTTTCTACTTAGAAACATAGAGTAGGATACATTGTGTCTTGTTCTCAGCTTCCTTTGTGTGTTTCCTGTGGCTGCTGAGTCCCTCTTGCTCTAGATGTCAACACACTGTTGCTCAAACCCAGATGCAAGACATCTTTATTTCACTACCACCAAAGCTTGCTTGGGTTAGCCAGTAATCTGCTGTTTTCTTTTCTAACTAACCATTCTCCTTTTCAAAAAAAAAAAAAGTGTACTCTTCTAGCCTCATCTCATTTTAACTTTTTAATTATAATTTTTTATTAATTATCTCACTTGCTTACATTTCAAATGTTGTCCCCCTTCCTGATCTCTCCTCCCCACCATCCCACCCTATACCCTCTCCTCTTCACCCTTGAGAGGGTGTTCCCTCACCTACCCAACAACTCCCACCTCACCCCTCTAGCATCCCCCTTCTCTGGGGTGTCAAGCCTTCACAGGACCAAGTGCATACCCTCCCACTGAGGCAAGACAAGGCAATCCCCTGCTACATATATAGTGGGAGGCATGGATCACCCATAAATACTTTTTGGTTGATGCTTAGTCCCTGGGAGTTCTGAAGGG